CTCAGATAATACCATAAACTTTGGGGAGGAATTTAGGACAGAAGGACACAAGATTTACCAACCTGGAGAAAAGGCACCTATGTTGCTGGTATCTACATTCCTTTTATTTCAGTTATCGTTTACCACTAAATCAAAGGACATGTTCTAAATATCATACATATGTATAGGCTGTAATGTAAAAAGTTGATATGTTTGCCTCAGGGTGGGCAATTTAATTCCTATTCAGTTGCATTATTTCACCCCAAAATGAGTCAATCACCTACATAGCTCGAAGGAGAAAAAAGTTTCTGCTGGTTAAGTATGGAAAAGATCACTTTATCAACACGAGGGTGGGAAGAGGTAAAACATGGGTGGAAAATGTTTCTGAACCTGTTTACAAACTTCCTGTGGTCCACAGTGTGCCTGGCTAGTTTGTATAAAACAAGTCTACAGACATGTCCTCCTCACACACCTTGTATTATGTGGCCCAGCAGTGGCTGCTGCTTAGAAATGCCTGAAAAAAGCACAGCTGGGTTGCTCTGACTTTTAGAATTCAAATGCTGGAAACATGGAGGGGAAGGAGAGATGTGCCATACTAAATAGGAGCAATTTAGCGTAACTACATAAAAGACTTCTTTATTCGTCTGTTGATAATGCATCAATAGTGAAGGTACTTCAGATTTAGAAGTTGCATTTCAAAGTTTCCAGTGTATAATTGAAAGTCAGAATATTAAAAATTAGTTTCTTTTCTCCACTGAGGGAAAATTATGGATGGGTCATGGTTTTAAATATATATCTAAATTGCTAAATATGACAAGATGAAGAGACAGTATGCTGCCATATTTGTTATAGATTCTCTGGAATTTCAGTTTCCATTTCGCTGCCCTGCTCCTACAGTTTCATTTTAATTTGCTGCTGTGTGAGGTGAGGGACTTCCTCCTTCTAAGATTTTCTTACCTCCCCACGTGGAACACTCATGGGTCCCGAGGAAGAAGCAGAACCAGACTCTCCTTGGTCCAGGCGCCCGCCCAGCTCCTCCATGCTGTGACTTTTAATTGCAGGTTCAGCCCCCGGAACCTGCCTCATGCGTGCAGCTCTAACATAGCTTTTTGCACCCACGGGAAAGTTGCCGTAGGTCACTCCATGACCTATAAAGTGGAGCCATTTTTATGGGCAACCTTACCTCCTGTTTTAACTGGACTCACTAACAAGTGTCCAGGTTTCAAATGACAGTACAGCTCCATTCGCCCTCTCTCCTTAGGACTGCTTCTCTCCTCACCCAAACTGTCAGCACACACAGGGTTCTCTGAGAGTATCTTCCACAACATTACTGTGGGGAAAAACCTCCCTGAAGACTCACCGCTGGCAAGCGTTCCCCACGACATGCTCTCGACACTGGCATACTCCGGAGGAACTACTACACATGGGGGTGATTGCTCCACCAATGTCGCACTGACACCCTGAAAGTCAAGAAGCAGTGGTTACCCACCCATTAAAGCATCTCCACACCCGATGCTTTCAGCCTCCCAGAGAAGTGGAATCAGTAAACCCAGGGATGCAGCACTGTACCATCTTTCCCCTGCCTCATCTTACATCCAGCAGGTGTTTAAAATATGTACAAACCTCCCAAACTGAAGAGCATGTCCCCACAAAAAGTCCACCTGTACGTTGGAGGTGCACTTGTAGGCCAGCTCCGACACTGTCATCCAAGATAAGGGGACAGTATCTCAGGAACTAAAAGTGATTTAGCAACATAGTGCTATTATAAACAACATGTGCTAACGCGAGGGGGTGAGAGGTACTATAAGAAGAGTCTTGTGGGGCAACTGCTCCACAGTTTTATTATTTAACACAACATTATCTCAGAAAACCTGGTGTGAGCTCTTTTGGTAATACAAAATACATCTTTAAAGTTACCAAGCTTTGATGTCATTTGCAGTGACTCTCCCCATCACAATTATGTTTTTTAAAATTAAACCAACAGGGTGTTGATAAAAGCAGAAGCAGCCTCATTTGCAATTTATTACTAGTTTCACCTGAATGTTTGGCCCAATTCCCTGGAGAGAATTGTTCAGTCCCATCCATCAGAAAGTCTGCATGAAGACAATGAACTCAGAAGAAAGCTTATCCTAACAGTCTTTGTTCATCAACACTTTTGCTTAATTCAGGATCCTCTGAAAGTATTTACCTTGACACCCAAAGTAATTGCTCTTTTCTAAAGCAAAATATCCATCTTCGCATGTGTCACAGGAATCGCCACCAACATGGGACTTGNAAACTAATGCTGGCTAAGGAAAGGTTATAGACCCTACACACATTAGTGATAAAACCTGTGTGTAACTGAAATATGCTTACCAAGTCATATGAAATTTATCTCAATCCCTATCCAAAAAGAATGTGGGCTTTCTGAGCTGTGTGTGGGGGGCGGGGTGCTCCCGTTGGTCCCCAGACCCCTGGTGCTCACACGACGCTCTAGCACTGCTGAGTCATGATCTTGAAGGAAAGAGTAGACTATTTTAATTATGAACTTCAGATTACATGTTCAAAACCAGCTGTGGCCCAAGGAAAGTTCATGAGACTTGAAACTCCAACTCAGTGGTTCTTCTGGTTTCTCTCCCAGCTCCTTTGGTTAATATGAAGGGGACTTTTGTTGAATGAAACATCTGTGACAATAAAGACTGACTTTGGGTGGGCTCCCTGACGTGGGAGCAGGAGCTGCAGCTGACCCACACTGAGGAACTCCAGCTGGCCCTCTCAATTTGACTAAGTTCATCTTGAAGTGTTAGTTCTAAGTTGGAAAATAAAAATGCAAAACTGTATTAGGAGCTGTGTAAAGTTATTGGTGATTTGAGGAACACCACCAAGTTTCTCTGATTAAAAATACTTACTAAAAAAATGCACCATTAGAAATTCATTCCTTTGTGTTAACCAGCTATTTTTCAAACTCTAAACATCTGCGGGAAGGTATATACCTTGACTGAGCTCTCAGTCATTCACATCCTGTTTTGGCTCAGTGGAATCCACTGCTTTTTTATGAATAATGAAGTAAGATCGCTGAACTAAATAAACTGAATTTCTGTATTTAGGGGGAGAGAGAAATCAATTAGATACTGTTTGGGAAAGGCAGCCCGGATGGGGATTTTGACCAGGCAAGAAGCAGCATTAAAATCAGCGGAGGCTCCAAGGGAACTGCGAACCAATCCCAGTTTCCCTAAGGGCTGAATGAGATAGAAATAGAAAGCACTAGGCCTGGATCTTCTGAGGACATATATTGGGTTACCAAGGTCATCAGTTTGCCTCTTTTATTCTGAATTTCTCCACTGAGAAACATAGCTTGACGAGGCCAACCTCGAAGAGAAATTTTGAGAACAAAACTACTCAATGACTATACAGAAATGTTTCTTTGTAAATATTAAGTTCTAAAGGTAAACAAATAAGTGTAAAATCTTTGATTATTCCAGTACAAAGCCAAGAGAAATGGGTACAGTTGAGAAGAATGAAGGAAAGGAGAAATGTGGGAAACAAAAATGAAATAGCACTGCCTCAAACTCCTCATTTATCTTACTTTCTACTCATATACTAATTCAGAGCTTTAGAAAGTAAAAAAAAAAAATTGGTCAAAAATTAGCAACACAAGCTTTATTGGAATTATTTAAGCCAACTTATTTTTATTCTTCACAAATTAAAGAAAAATGTTTCTCATGTTAAAATAGAGCCTANAAACAACACAATACATATGGAAACAGGATATAAAACCCTTGTTGAGATTTTGAAAATGAGAGTTGTTCCAAAAGTGGGGGAAAAAAACATCAAAACATTTACACAAAATTTCAGACAAACTGAACTGATTAAATAAATAGCTCTTTCATGGGCGTAGTCACTGAGGTAGAAAAAAAATTAAGAGGAAGCTACAATATAGTAAATTATTATGTACAAGAAACTTGACCTGAACATCCATTGGGGTTTTCTTTGGCTAGGTTCCAATACAATGGTTTGCAGATGCTGCACATAGGACTTTCAACATGAAGCTTGCACTGGCAATACCCCTTTAAAAGAAAAGCAAACTAAGATTTGACATCTCAGAATTAAGCATGTTTTCAAACATGTGTTTTGTACAAAGCTTGTCACAGAAATATATTTTGAGCATGAATAGTAAATTAAGTGTATCCCGGGGGAATAAAAGAGCTGAGTTGATTTCAACAGTCCGCTAATTGCTTTTGTTTTATTATTCATTTATTTGTTATACACATAATGCATATTTCTGGTTAAAACAAAATTGGAAAACACAGAAAAAGAAAAACTTAAACATCACTCTGATTTATAACATTGTCATTGTCTTTTGATTCTGGTACAGGCTGGACGGTAAATTTAAATGGAGAAATGTCTGACTATTTAACATGTGAGCATCAGTAGGAAGATAGGTTTATCTGAGTGTTTTGTGAAAACTCTTGCTTAAACATCGCCAAGGCTCACAGGAAAGAGGCAGAGTCTCTCTCCCACTGCCCCTCTAGGGACTGGAGTTTCAGCATCTTCAAGCTCTGAGGCTAAGAAGGTAATTTCTAAAGTTCTTCAAAAACTAATCCAAATACTGTAGTATTGTGCTTGTAGTAATATCAAATAAATTGCAATTACTCTATACACATACAGCTTTATTTAATGTGAATTTGGCCTTCTACTTTTTTTATTTTAATTATGTATGTCAGGCTTATGTGCAGGGCTCCAGGGTGGCAATGCCTTCAAAGTCACCACAAGTTAAACTCTAGGGCTCTAGAATTCAATTTAAAGAAGCTTTATTCTTTTGTTTTTGAAAAAAAAAATCGTAATATTGCACACACATTTTGAAAACAAGCAATGACTTCTTTAAGCAATTTGGCCTTAGGCCTCATTTTAATTTACTTTTAATTTCAGGAAGCTCCCAAAAAGTATCAGAATAATAGTTAGAATTGCACCCCTTTTATAATTCTCCACTTACCAAGCTGGAGTCGAAGGTACCGGCTAGGTCACAGGAATTGCTGGCGCCTGTATATAATTCAGAAATGCTTTAAATATCTGGGTGCTAATGTTTATTTGTTTGCCTCTTTATTGTGGTGTTTTGAGTTTTAAAAGTTTTACTTGTTTTTAAACATATTGCATCTACATGTATATTTTTGATAGATGGGTGGCAAGGACTTTGCATGTAATTCAGAAAAAGGCACCCCAAATCACCTCTCTGGCCCTTACTCCCCAACTCACCCCCTTTGCTACTGAACAACTCTAGTCCCTGCATACTACTCAAAGTTCATTTCTAACGGATGATTTTCTGACTGGGAAAAGGAGACTCTAGAATTTTGAGCATCTTTAGGATTGTCCAGAAGAGGGCAATATTGTATCAAGAGATTTTTTTTTAATTGTCCAATTAAAAAGAAGTTACAGACTTTCTAAGTACATTTTTTGATTAACCAAGACGTAATTCTCTAAACATCACAACCCCCTCGTTCCTCAACGGTACTAAAATTATTTCTATATACTATATTTGAATATAGTATTACAAGCCCAATATAATCGCTCTTCAATAAATTGGAATCTTGAAATGTCTCAGTGCTACTATTACGTAACATTAGAAACCAAGAGAGGATGGGTAAGCCTGTGCTGAGCCAAGTTTTTCCAAAGTTTAAGTAAATCCATAATACGATCTTGTTTTCTTCCAAGTTGTACTTTAGACTTTTTGCCTTTATTGTCTCCTCTTAGTCCATTTCAGCTTCTTCCTTGATGAAATTCATATTCTCCCGCTACCTCTCCGTCTCCCTCCCTCTTTTCTTTTTTGATGCTCCCTTGCATTCTATATTAGTCAAAATGACCTTCCTGCTCTTTGTGGGTTTCCAAGCTGGCCACACCCAGACTTTGGCTCCTCTCCAGGCTCAGGCTAACCAACAGGCTCTGGAGAAATACTCGTGGATGCTCAACCCCACTGTCCACGGCCACAGAACTTCCCACAGCACCCCCTTCCACTCCTGACCCTATGGAGGTGAGTAGACCCAGTCCTGGACAGCCTCACACTCTGGGGACCTTTAGGCAAGCAGCCCCCTCTGACTGCTGGCTACAATTTTCACCAGCAAGAAAATCTGGTCTCTTGAGAATTCTGCTGAGCAAGGCTCTGGGGGAGCCAATATGAGCTGAGGCTCTGTCTGACAGCTCTGAATGCAAGGCTGCAAGCGCTGCTATCAGGAGCAGGAAGGGGTCTGAGAAAACCACGTTCTCCTGATGGAAAGTCTGGTTCAGCCTTTCACAAACACCTCTTCTCAACAGAGAAAGGGTCCTCTGAAAGTCACAGTCAGGAGCTACTCACCCCTCGAGGCTGTACACACCTGAAACACAGTGAGATTCCACAGGCATTTTATGTCCATGACCTTGGCCACAGGGCATGCAGACTCTCAATCTCTTGTATCAATTGAAGGAAGAGTACTGTTGACTCATGACAGTGTTTCCTCCTTGGCTCACTCTTTCTAAACCAAATAGACCTGGTTCACCCCACTCTCCTGCCCCTCAGATCTGTGCTGATGTATGATGACACAATTCCCCAGGAGGCCAGTGGTAGGCAAGGAAAGAGGAGCAGAAACCCAGGAAAGGTCCAGCTCAGCTCGCCCAAAAGGGGACCTGTCGGCACTCCCCTTGGGGGATGACACAGCAGCCAAAGTCAGTGCCACAGCCCAGACCCAGAGAGAAATCAGGATGCCTTGGGATGGAGGACAAGGAATGCTGAGCTTAAAGGAGTCATCTAAAGGGGTCACCTTTGCCACACTGCTACAGACAGAGAATTTATGTGAATCAAGGAACAGAAATGTATAACACAAGGGAATTAAAAAAAATAGGAATAAATCATTTCTGCCTTCCTTTGAGGATTTGAACTGTGAAGAAACCTAGCAGATTAGGGTCAAACATGTAGATGAGACCAGTGGTGGGTCTGTGGGGGTTTGCAGGCTGCACACAGGTCAGAGAGGAACCCACCCCTCAGCATTCTGATGTCTTCCCTACCTTGGCAGTGGGGGAAGTCATAGGCTCCTGAGAGGCACCTGTCACACCGCCGTCCTGTAATTCCCGGCTGGCATTCACACTGTCCAGTCACTGGGTTGCAGGGCGTCTGGTAGGAGCCAAGGGCTGAACACTGGCAGGCTAGATGAAAGGACCTCAGTCAGACACAAGGCAGCAGGGCATGGGACCAGGATAAGAGCAGGTGGTGGGGCTGGAAAGACCAAAATGCAAGTTCCAGCTTTGCCTCCTATTAGGCCTGGAACCTGAAACAACCTGCTCAAATACCCTAAGCCTGGTTCCCCTTCCTTAAATGGGAATAATACTAACTCTACTTGATAAGATTGTTTCCAGAATTAAATAAGCTAATACTTGAAAGAGCTGGGGACGATGCCTGTCTCATAGTGAGCACTCAATAAATGCCCATGGTTTTTTGTTTTGTTCTTTTACTGGTGTTAATTTCATATTCAGCAAGACTGGCTGGTCGTGGATGAGGGCTTTGGGAATGCTTCTTGCTTACAGTAAGTGATGCTCGTAGAAGGAGGATAGAGGGAACAACTGATGGGGGATGTAACACATTGGAAGGGCCACGTTAATTCCACATCCCACGGGGAATCAAGTGCAAACCATTCCAGTCCAGAGAGGCCTCCAATTGTCCCCCTTTTTTTCTCTGCCCATCTCTCTTCACACCTGATTTGTCAAGGTCTAGAGTAGTTGAATAATTATGGAAAAAGTTATANCCCCCCTGGCTTTTTATCTAAATTATTGCTTTCACTCCTGTAAACATACACATAAAACACACTCAACTCCTACTCACTGCAAGCAGTGAAATGAGAAAATCATTTACTACAACCCATAGTGGTAGCACCTTTTAAAATGTTCTAAATGGTTGCCAACAACTTAGCAAAGTCAAACTAGGTTATTTACTATAAATTCACTCATTTATATAATCATATTCACTCATTACACAAATATTAACATCTAGGTGCCAAGAACTGTTGCTAAGCACCACAGATACAATAGTGAACATGAAATAAAATATTTCATATGCTGTTTATAAATTAGATATATTTACATATATATTTTGATCATTAGACTGATTTTTCTATGCCTTGTTTTCTCTTAAACTATATGCCTATAAATGGATTGCTTTTGGGAGTCGAATAAGGGCAATCACAGAGAAGGATAAAAAAATTCCAATACTTGTGTGACATTTTATATTCAAACTATTTCAAGTTCTTCAAAATGGCGCATATTGACAATCCAGTCACAAACTAACAGCAGTTAGTGGATATAAAGCCATAAAGATCATTTAGTAAAAGCAAATAAATGGCGTGCTCTTATATTGCAAGTAGAATTAGGAATGCTTACAATTTTTCTGGAGGTAATTTACAAAAATGCTTAAAAATATTCACTCCCATTGACC